ACACACACACACACACACACACACACGAAAACAAAAAAGATTAGTATTTTGTCTAGGGGAAGTAGAGGAAAAGGGATGTATGATTGTCTGTCAGCTCTTTTCATTGAAGCTGGAGAAGGGAAGGAAAAGGGCACAAGAAGAGAGAGTCTAGATTGCTCATTGCTGGGATGATTTCCTCAACACTCCTTGGAAACAGTACTATGTGTTTTATAAAGTGAGGGATGATAAGCACAGTGGCTCACATTCTGTATTCCTAGCTACTCAGGAGGCTGAGATCTGAGGATCGCAGCTCAAAGCCAGCCTGGGCAGGAAAGCCTGTGAGACTCTTATCGCCAATTCACCACCAAAAAATTGGAAGTGGCACTGTGGCTCAAGTGGTAGAGTGTTCACCTTGAGTTGAAGAGCTCAGGGAAAGCACCCAGGCCCAGAGTTCAAGCCCCCATGACCGACAAAAATTTTAAAAAAATGAAATAAAGTGAAAGCATCACTGATAACTGGCATTCTCAGTGTCTTGTCTTGCACCCTGGTAATATTATATCACCTTCTTGTTGGTCTCAAAACCCAATTCAAATAATTTGATCTGGACACCACACTGTAACTTACAAAGGGCTTTCATGCAAAATTTCCCTTTAAATCTTTGCAGCAAATCTGGAACATAGATGTCATCCCATTATAGAGCCAGAAAAAGTGAGGTTTACAAAAATTAGATATTAGACTACAGCAGCTCTGGGCCTTGGCTCCGTGCTGCCTGTTTCTGTCATCATATCAGATACTTGCAGGCCAATTTGCCCTGGCACTTCCAACCCGAGTAGGACAGGTGTCCTCCTAAGTGCCTGACCTGGGCTTTGCCACAATCTTGTACTCATGACACTGAACGTGACTCCAGTCTACACTACATGGGGTAACCCTGAAGGCACTGACTGTGCGACTGGGATCTTTCTCACAGCAATTTCCCAGAACTTGGCACATGCTCAGTGGGCTGATACTGTTGTGTGACTGAGCGACTGAATGAATAAGTGAATGTTTGACTAACACAAAATTCTGAATAGCTACAACTCTACAGCCTAGACCTTGACACCAATTTTGATCCCACAGCCTCAGATTTCCCAACTCCAGTCTGCATAGGATAAGAGGACACTGAGTTTTGCCTTTGGAAATCAGGGCTGACTGTATATGTAGATATCAAAGCAGCTTCATAGACACCACCAAATGGTCCATAGGGACCTAAGCCACTCAGTGAGGCAGGCTTCCCAGCTCTCATTACTACCAAAACAACTAGAACCTGCACACGTGCTCACACGCAGGCACAATCCCCAGACATTGTACATGCAGCCAAACCCGGAGGCTTTGGGAGATCACAGAACAATGGGGCCACTTCCCACTTGATGGGAGCTGTGCGGCTGGAGCTGGGGCAGGGGCCTTGGGATAGGAGCAGCCAGAGATAATAACTACCAATCAGGGGTGAAGGAATGGAAGCAAACAGGGAACAAAAACTCAAAGCACCAGCATCCCTTAAGTCAGGGAGGGCTCTGCTGGCAGATCGAGGTAGCATCACATAGCCTGGTCAGAGAAAATCCCAGGGCAGAGTCTACAGACCCCACCTGCAAACAAACACTGCCAGGCAACATGACAGAGACACAGAGAGACAGAGACAGGCAGAGGTGGGGAGTGGGGATTTCTGGGGAGAAATTTGTGAGGACTTCCTGGAGAAATGAAAGTGACTTCCTTCTAGACACACTGGCCCACCTCAAACTTCAAATGTGTCTTTGCATGGCTCCCAAGACTTAAGTTCTTTAAAGGAAACAACTACACCACATTGTTCTTTGGGCTCCACTCCCAGCCCTTCCTCTATCTTCCCCTTCTCCCCCTCCTCCGACAATAAACTACATACTTACAGAGTGGGTTCAGGGAACTCAGCAGGAGAAAAAGACAGTGAGCACTGAAGGAAAATGGCAGGAGTAAAGTGGAAGAAACCCCCTCAATGGCAGGATGAGTAGATGAGTTTCACAGAAGAGGAGAAAATGAACAGAGAGCAAGGGGAACAGAAAGTGAGGGCTTGCTTACAGGTGATGAGTCAGAGGAGGAGGTGAGCCCCAGGTTGGCCTGGGATGTGGGGGGGGGGGGAGAAGAAGCTTGTACCTTCCAGAAGAGGCCTCACTTTTCAATGTCAGCAGATGCACGGCAGAAAGGGAAGCCAGGAAGGGCAAACTTAGAGGGAGGGGAGCAAAACAACCCAGAAATAACAAACACCAAACAATAGACTGCCTGCTGAGGAGGCAGGAGTCCAAAGCCCCAAGTAGGCAATTATCAAGAATTCACAAACACCCCAATTACAGAAAGGAAGAGAGTGTGTCTCACAGCAGGGCAGAGGACTTAGACTCTTCCTGAAAAGTGGAAGAGACAACTAGACCATCTCAAAGGCTGTGTGTGATGATGACTCACAAAAGTCCCAAAATCTGAACCTGATTGAAGAAGAAGAATGGATTTGAGACAGATTCCAAATCTAGCCCTCACTGAATAGCCCTGCCAATGGGAGCACATTCACTTCCTTTCCAGTAAACCTGGGGTGTTGTTGGACAGAGTTGTAGTAGTTGCCCTTGGACCCTGGGTGCATCTAGGTGTGTCCTTCAATGAAGTGACTCCTGTAGAGTAAGATGTCATGTTTTTGAGAACTTTCAAGGGATCTTGTTTTTTCCCTGCTTCAGTATCATCCAGAAGGAGAACACGTGCTCCTACATGTCTAGTCACACAATCACCTTCTTATGGGGGTCTCCACTCCCCGTGGGAGAAGCCCAGGCTAACCGAGCCCTGTAGACCTTAGCTCTACCCTCTCTTGTGGGCCAGGGCTCCGGTCAACCAGTTGGTCTTTGGCAAGGATTCCGATGTGGAACAGGAAGAGGAGGCTGAGGACAGACAAGTCTCCAACACTCGCCGATCCTGAGCCTCTGTGCCCCAGTTCCTTTCAGATGCGCACTTAGGAGCCCCTACTCTGAAATCAGGGAAAGAATCAGGAGGACAGGAAGGCGAGTAGCACGGTTCATAGTCTCCAAGGCCCGGCGCCTTCTCGCCTCCAAGGTGGCCAGCGTGGGGGCAGATCCCGTACCAAAAGTCCAACCGGCCCCTCCCGGTCACCAGCGGCCAGGAACCCGCCAAACAGGAAATTCCACCTGTGCGCCCAGGCCTGGACCACCACACCGGGCAAAGGGAGTGGAGCCTGGCCGAGACCAGGCCCCGCGCGCCGGGCCCGGGGGTGGGGATGGGGGTGCAGGGGACCGGAGGGTCCGCGCCCAGCTGGGCACCCCTCGCCTACACCCACCTCCAGTCGCGAGCTGTACTTGAGTCCCGCGCCGAAGTCCTTCGGGCCCCCTGAGGCCTTGCGGGTCCGCTCGCTCCTCATAGTGGCGGGACGTGGATGTCAGAGGTGTGGTCCCTCCAGGCAGCTGGCTCCCATGGCCCGCCGGGGGCGGAGGGCGCGGGGGGCAGGGGCGCAGTGCGGGTCGGATCCCCGGGCAGGCCCAGCGCGCCCGGCCAGCGGCGGCGGCGGCTCTCGCTCTCATTCTTCCTCCCAGCGCAGGTAGTTTCAGGGTGTGGCCTGCCCGGTTTGTCCCGCCCCGCCACCCTCGCCCGCACCTGTGCGCGGCCACACCGCCCCCTCGCCCCCAGCCACGCCCCCACGGGAAGCTCCTGCCCCGCCGGGAGGAGAGGGGTGGGGCGCAGCCCTGCGGGAGAGGGTAGTGGGGACCACACAACAGACCGGGCTCCGGGGTGGGAAGCTGGCTCCGTGGTAGAGCGCTGGCCTCGCATGCGAGAGCCCCTGGGTTCGGTTTCTCAGCGCCACAGAAGCAGGAAGTGGCGCTGTGGCTCACCTTGAGCTGAGGAGCTGAGGGACAGCGCTCAGGCCGCACGACCGACGGGGGCGGGGGAAAGCCTGAAGCCCGGGCTCCCACTGGTCCTCTTAGCCGTCCCAAGCAAGTGAGCCGTCCTTCCCCCCACCCCCAGCAACTTCAGCCCCTCCCACCGGATCTTCCACCTTGGGTGCCTTGCTAACGTGACTGCTTCTTAGGTATGACCCCTCTCCTCCAAAAGCACCCTGAAGAGAGCGCGGGTTGCTCCCGCCTATCCCGGCGTGCCTCCGACCTCTCTCCTCCTGGAGGTCGGTCGCAGCCTCCTCGCCTCTAGAGAGGCCTTTTGCTGTGGCTGGCACCCGGCTCCGCCTGAAAAAGGTCAGGAGAGGCTTCAGCCATCTGTGGTATCAGAAGGCAACTTCCAGGTAAGCACCAGTGCCGCACAACTGTAATCCTAGCTACTCAGAGGCTGAGATCTGAAGATCGCGGTTCCAAGCTAACGGGGCAGGAAAGTCCTTAACACCCTTGTCTCCAATTAGAAAAAACAACAACAACCAGATTTAGAGTTGTGACTCAAAAGGTGGAGAGCCAGCCTTGAGCAAAATCAGCTAAAGGACAGTGCCTGAGTTCAAGCCCGTGTGTGTGTGTGTGTGTGTGTGTGTGTGTGTGTGAGAGAGAGAGAGACAGACAGACAGACAGACAGTCAGACAGAGACAGAGTATCAGAGGGAGAGAAGGAGACAGAAAAGGGAGGGAGAAAGAGAAAGGGAAAAAAGAAACTGACCTCAATTGCCCACCTTCCTGGATTCTTTTTTAAAATTATCTTTAAGTAGTTGTACAAAGGATTTGCCATTTAACAAAGCAGTTTATAAATTAGGTAGGTCGATCAATGTCACCACTTTCAGCCTTCTTTCTCATCTCTCTCACTACCCACCCCTTTCCTCATCTTCTTACTTTTGTAGGATATACATTGGATTCTTCACTGCATTCTCCCCCTCTTCTCCCCTTGTCTATCTCTTTTCCCTTGACCAGATCCCACTCCACTCCTTTGGAGTACCTGCTTCCTGGTGTATTAGTTTCCTGAAGTTTGAGTTTGCCTTTCTAAGAAATTACACTATCTGAGTTCCTCCTTGAATCTACCATATTTCAGTGAATATATTCGTACACACTTGCATACTCCCCAATGTATTTACTTATAAGTTTATAAGCCAAATCTGGCTTTCACATATAAGGGGACCCATATGTCCTTTGTCTCTCTCTGTACCTGACTTCACTTAACATAATTTTTCCATTTCTCTCTTTCTTTTTCTTTTTTTTGTTGTTTTGTTTTATTTTGTTTTTATTGTGAAAATACTGTACAGAGGGGTTACAATTACATGGGCAAGATAATGAGTGTTGCCTCCTCCTTTGTTTCCCCTTCCCATCCCATTTGTTTTGTTTTGTTTTTCCAGTTCTGGGGCTTGAACTCGGGGCCTGAGCACTGTCCTTGAGCTTCTTCTGCTCAAGGCTAGCACTCTACCATTTGAGGCATGGTACCACTTCCGGCTTTTTCTGTGTATGTGACAATGAGGAATGGAACCCAGGGTTTCATGCGTGCTAGGCAAGCACTCTACCACTAAGTCACATTCCCTGGAATTCTTTTAAGAAGAAGGAGAAAGAGCGAGAGTAATAAGGGTGGAGAAGGTTGATGAGGAAACATTGTTCACATGTATGGAAAGGTCACAAAGGAAATCCCCCTTTGTGCAGGTAATGTATGCTAATTTTAAAAAGTTATGCTTCCCAAAGTTCTCTTTCCAGCCTCCTCCTTGTTCTCTCTATACTTTCTCTTTTGACAAGTTATCTCATCCTATGACTTCACCTAGGGAAACCCAACTTCCCCACATAGAAGCACCCACTCTATATTAGCAATCACATGGGAAATTCTTTGCTCACACTCTACAGGAATAACATAATCAACCAATACTATTTGTCTACATACTGTATGCTAAGTACTCCCAAGTACAAACAATCAGCAGTGAACAAAGTTAAACTCCCTGCTTTAAAATCAAGAAGCACCCAACTTCCTTTCTGGACTTGCTGGTCTTCTAAAACTAATAACATCGGTGGCTACAACAAGCAGAGATCTCTACTGACTTGTACTGGATATGTGACATGAGTAATGATAGCTTTGAGGATTTTTAAGTCACTTGTTATTGCAACAAGCTTAGTCTCTCCTGACTGATATTCTTCCACCACCATGAAAATTGTTCCTTCCCTCTAAACCAGAACTAGGTCTGGTAGTACTTCTGATATGGAATTTATCACCTTGTCAGTGCATCACTGAATCTTACTGATCTTTGAATTCTCAAATTCTAGGACAACAAATTGTATTAATTTAAGAAATGAGCACATGAGGGCTGGGAATGTGACTTAGTGGTAAAATGCTTGCCTAGCATGCATGAAGCCCTGGGTTTGATTCCTCAGTTACCACATAAACAGAAAAAGCCAGAAATGGTGCTGTGGCTCAAGGAGTAGAATGCTAGCCTTGAGCAAAAGAAGCTCAGGGACAGTGCTCTGGCCCTGAGTTCAAGCCCCAGGACTGTCAAAAAACAAAACAAAACAAAAAAAGAAATGAGCAAATGAATCAGTCATCTTCCAAAATATAAGGCATCCCAAAACCAAACAGACAGTATTGAAAATAACTTCCAATTTTGGATTACCAATGGCACAACAACCTCCCATTAGTGAATGACTGCAGATACAACATAACATAAATGAGGGGCTGAGAAGGTGGCTCAGTGGTAGAGCACTTACCTTGCATGCCTGAGGCCCTGGGTTCGATTCCCCAGCACCACATAAGCAAAGAGAAAAAAAGCTGGAAGTGGCGCTGTAGCCCAAGTGGTAGAGCGCTAGCCTTGAGCTGAAGAGCTGAAGGACAGCGCCCAGGCCCAGAGTTCAGGCCCACGACTGGACCCAAAAAAAAAAAACCAAAAACAACATAACGTAACATAAATGAGACAGCAGGGCTGGGAAAGTAGCTCAGTGGTAGAGTGCTTGCCTTGTATACATGAGGCCCTGGGTTGGATTCTTCAGTACCACATAAGCAGAAAAAGCCAGAAGTGGGGCTGACACTCAAGTGGTAGAGTGTTAGACTTGAGCTGAAGAGCTGAGGGACAGTGCCCAGGCCCAGAGTTCAGGCCTCACAAGGGACAAAATAAAAGTAAAAATAAAAAATAGATGAGACAGCACTGAAACTCGCTCTCTTGCTGTGAAAGAATGACTCACATTCTCTCCTACCTTCTAGAGCTTTATAGTTTATCTCATTGAGTGAAATAGAGTCTCATCGGTAGAAGGTACTTGTGGTGAACATTTGAAAGCAATACACATGCAATACATTTACTACAAATTTAGAGGAAGAGGAGGAGGAACCTGCTAACCCCCTTCCCTGGGATGTTTGTGTTACATCAGTGCATTGAGTGCAGCCTATGTGTGTTCTTATGTCAGAGGAAAAGTTGCTACTATGTACGATTCCCTGAAGCCCGTTTCATTTAGTTCTCCTAAAATTATGAGGCAAGTGCTTTTAACTGTCAATGAAGCCCACAGTCAGAAAACCTAAAGAATACGGTCAAAAGATGGGGAAGTAACTCAGTGGTAAAGGACTTCCATATTACAGCCTGCCTGGGCTGGCTTCAGCCTGCAGTCCTCAGATCTCAGCCTCTTGAGCTGCAAGGCTTACAAGCATGAGCCACCAGCGCCGGGCTGTCATCTAGTTTTTATGCCCCACAGCTGCAGCATTTCCCTGTGGAAATTACTTTGCAATAAAAATGACACTTTTCTCTCCTTCATTTTCTTTCTTTTCTTTTTTTGTAAGTGTGTATGTGCATGTGTGGTAAGGGGAGTGTTTGCTGGTCCTGGAGCTTGAACTCAGTGCCTGTGAACTGTGCTGTTCCTTACCTTTTTTACTCAAGGCTAACAATCTACCATTTGAAACATAGCTTCAGCCTGGCACCAATGGCTCACACCTGTAATCCTAGCTACTCAGGAGGCTGAGATCTGAGGATCAGGGTTTGAAGCTTGAAGTTTGAAGCTTTGAAGTCCATGAGACTCTTATTTCTAATTAACCACCAAAAAGTCAGAATGGAGATATTTTTATCTTCTTGATAGATGGTCCTTTATTAATATATAGTGATCTTTTTATCCCTTCTGATTAATTTTGGCTTAAACTCTGCTTTGTTGGATGAGTCCTGTTTGATGGTGGACTTTGCTTGCTTGGAATGTAATTTCCCACCCTTTTATTTTTTTTTCCTGGCAATCTACTGCTTATTTTGTTTGTTTTTTCAATACTTTCAGTCAGTCAGTTATTACTGAGAGGTATGTATTAACTTCTCCCTTCATCTTAGGGGACTATGGGATTACTAAATTGATAATACTTGGTTCTTTCCTAGTTTTCATTGATTTATTCTCCTAAGAAAGTGGTTTTTGTTTTTGAACAATGGTTTTTGTTTGTTCTAACTCTGGGATTAGGCACTGTCCCTGAGTGCCTTTTTGCTCAAGACTAGTGCTCTACTACTTGAGCCATACCACCACTTCTGGTAATTAATCACTTCTGTGATTAATTGTAGATGAGTTTCATGAACTTTCCTACCTGGGCTGGCTTTGAACCATGATCCTCAGATCTCAG